TTAAGCAAGAATGGGGGATTTAAGGGTTAGAAACTCACCCTTAAAGACCACCTTCAAAGCTGCAACTCCAGCAGGTTTTTCAAGCTTAAACCAGTCCAAAAACTCTAAAAACAACCTCAAGGGACCTCAGCTCCAAGAGTATGGTGTTTGAGTGTGTGTTTGTGTGTTAAAGTAAGACAAAACTACACTTCTAGGCACAAAATAAAAACAAACAAGGAGATATAGATACAAGATTGTATGTATATCTCAAACCTCCAAATTCTGAACCTAGAGGAGGGAGGAGGTGGTTCTCTCTTATAAAGAACCAAAAGCTAAAGCTTCTAGGAGAAGCTAAGGTTCAAGACCATCCCTCCATACACGTGTATGGAGGATGGTTCTGGTGCCCTCCAGCTGCAGCTGGAGGAAAATATCTCAAAAAAGCAGCCGACCACTTAAAGTGGTCGGCCGACCACTTTAAGTGGTCTCCCAGAACAAAAACTAGTCGACCATGGTGGGAGAAGGTCCAGAGCATGAAAACAAGCAAATGGTGTGGTGGCCGACCAGAAAAGGTGGTCCAAAGACCAAGAAAGCCAGTTATCTAACCAGAAAACTGGCTGGCAGGAGAAAAAGTGGCCTCCAAGGGGAAAAACTGGTCTCCCACCCTTGTACCACCTTTCAAACAAGGAAAACAAGGTTTGTACCAAAGACAAATCAAAACGGATGCAAGACGAAAGTTCGAGAGGCAAAGCGCGCAGCTGGGAGCCTCAAAAACTAGCTGTCGAGCACCAAAAGTGGTTTGCGACCACAAAAGTGGTCTCCCAAACCACAGTGGCCCTCTAGGCCAAGAAAACAAGGTGTGGTTCAAAAACCACGCCAAACGGAGAACATTAAGCGGTCCCGAGACAAGGCGCGTGGCCGAAGGCCCCGAAAATCGGAAACTGGTCTCTAAACGGGAAAAATGGTCTACGACCACAAAAGAGTGGTCTACAAGACCTCTCCCTCCCTCAGGAAAGGAAAGCAAGACTTGGTCTGCAGACCGAGCCAAAGCACAAAGAGTTCTGAGGCCTAGAGGCAAGGCCTTCAATCAAAACTCCAAAACCTCGAAATGAGCACAACATGCGCAATCACCGAACGCTCAATCGATGACGTCTGAGTCTTAAGGTTGGTCAAAAATGGGGTGTCTACATAATGCAGAATCTTGAGCCAGAAGATAATAGTTGTCCTACTATTCACCTTTAAAGACTTGCATGCACTGGGGATTTAGATTAAGAGCACATTTAACAAAGGGATTATTCCTAGAACAAACAAACCAACAACAGTGTTGAAAATGAAAGAAAAGAAGCAAAAACATGAAGAACAACAAGAGAGCAACACTAGAGAACAAGCCTATGGAAGGGTGGCTAACCCTTCCACCTTCAACAATGTTCAAATCACATTTTAAAGCCCAAAATATACTGAAAAACAATATTGAAATGAAGAACAACAAGCTTAAAAGGAAAGGAAATGGAAAGAGTTGAAGAATCAACCTTTATAGAAGAGGAAGAGTTTCTTGGTTCACAAACTCCAATCCAAACACTCTCAAGTATCTAAAATTATGTTCAAAACCTCAACAAAAAGCTTCAACTTCAAGCTTTAATGGTGTATCTATAGTGTATTAGTGTATCTACATTTCAAGAGGGTAGAGAAGCTTTGGGCAATTGTCTAAGCCTTTGGGAAAAATGTTCTAACCCTAAATTCAGAGGGAAGGTGTTGTTTTATAGACTTTCAACCACCTTCAACGCAAGTATCCGCAAAAGAGACAGCTGGTTCAAATCTTGTGCAAGGAAGCAGCTGGCTGCTGCAAAATATCTACTTCGCTGAACATGGCCAGTTGACCAATCATTTGTACGGCCGGCCCACAAAAGTGGCTTACCGGTCATTTTTTTTGGTCCTGCTACTTTTTGAGTGATCAAGCTAGAAAAAAAAAAGTTTTGGTCCAAATAGGGTGCAAGGTTTTAGTTTTGAAGCTCAAAACCGAATTCTTTTGCTGAAGATTTGAAAGATTGTACAGTATAATATTTCATCATCGAGTGTTTGGAATGAAGCGCCCAAGTCTTAAAGGCTGTCAAAAATGGGGTGTCTGCACAAACCAAACAAATGACAACAATGTAAAACTCCAAATAAACAATAGACAACACCATCACTTTAGCTCTCATAGCACCAACACAATAACTCTACAAGGAAGAGCCAACAAACTAGACCCATCAAGAGCCCTAAAGAGAATGGCAACAAAAGGCCCAAATTCCATATCAGCAACAACCCAAGGCAAAATATCAAGGCTTCGACTTCCAAATGATTAGTAATAGCAAATTGAGATCGAAGTAATAGTCCATCAGGACAAATATCCCCCAAATAAGAGACTATTGAATCCTAAGAGCAAAAGTAGGATAAAAAATGTGAGATTAACGAGAAGTTTTGACTAATTTATTAAATTATAAAATTGATAAGATTTCATTAATCTCTCCTTATAATCCTGAGTCAATCCAAACATAAAATATGATATACAATTCAAAAGAATTGCTAATCCCAAAACTACCAATCTTAAACATGTTAATTATATCTAATCCAATCCACTCAAATGAACATAATCATAACTGTACAACCAATAAAGGCAACATATTTCTATCTACAGTTGTTGAAATATTTGTAGTATGCTGGCCTAAACATGATCTGCAACACTAGAAACTTAGAACCCATGAGGACTATGTGAAATTAATTTAGAATTTATTAATTACATATATGGAAAGGTTGAGTTCATTCAGGTCTTGAAGAGTAAAGGGTAGGGTCACTTAATTAAGTACAAAGCATCCTAATTGTATGTGAAGGCACATGTTTGAATTAATTGTTAGTCTTAGATGTCTCCAAAAATCACTATATAAAGTGACATGTGATCATTTGAGGATGTACAAGGAAGAAGAAGAAATTTAGAAGCAAAACTTAGTTAAGTTTTTAAAAAGGTATTTGTGCAGGGTAGGGTCACTTAATTAGGTTCAGAGTGTCTTGATTGTATGTGAAGGTACATGTATGAATTAATTGTTAGTCTTAGATGTATCTAAAAATCACTATATAAAGTGACATGTGATCATTTGAGGACGTACAAGGAAGAAGAAATTTAGTAGTAGAACTTAGTTAAATTCTTAAAAAGGTATTTGTGCCTCTCAAGAGCTCTATACGACATTTGGGTTGTAGATCTCCACAAATCTCTAGTTTTTCTTCTTCACACACAGATCATATTGAGTTTTATGTATGGCTTGTTAGTGTCCACCATATTATGCTAGCTTCTAGAAATTCATGATGACTTCCTAGACAGAACAAAATAGTCTCGTCTGTAACATAGTATGAATCAATTTTTCCTGGTATGGATATCTCCAAAGAAACCCTAATGTATAGATTTTGCTTGTACATGTTTTACTTGAATTTGTTTATAGAAATTACCTTGATGACATCTTCTTCTGAGTATATAAACCAAGATGTCAACATGTGCTTTTCAAATTTCATAATGATCCTACAACAACCACAAAATCAAAGACAATAAATAAATACAAAAAAGAAATCCTTTTGCAGATACTGAGGATGAAATGTATCTGATGATTTTATTCAAGTTGGTGCGTAAGGGTGATTGGGGGCAGATTAAGCACTTTCTTGAGCTACACCCTAATGCACGTGCCAAAATTTCATCCTACTGCGAGACAACCCTCCACATTATAGCCTTTGCTGGACAAGTAAAGATTGTGGAGGAGTTGGTCCATATGCACTACAAGAAATTACACTTTTGGTGAATAAATTTTTAGTCGCCAAAAGGTTTTCCCGACTAAATAGTTTGGTCGCCAACTTGGTCGCGGAAAGACGGTCGGCGAAGGTATTGGCAACTAAAAAAATTTTAGTCGCCGAAAGTCCTAAATTGGTGACTAAACAAGTAGTCGCCAAAAGTAAAAAGTATTGGCGACAAAACAAAAACTTTAGTCGCTGAAAGGCTAAATTGGTGACTAATTTTTTAGTCGCCAAAAGCTTACAATTAAATTTAACCAAGATGACATCTTCTTCTGAGAATATAAACCAAGATGTCAACATGTGCTTTTCAAATTTCATAATGATCCTACAACAACCACAAAATCAAAGACAATAAATAAATACAAAAAAGAAATCCTTTTGCAGATATTGAGGATGAAATGTATCTGATGATTTTATTCAAGTTGGTGCATTAGGGTGATTGGGGGCAGATTAAGCACTTCCTTGAGCTACACCCTAATGCACTAAGTGCCAAAATTTCATCCTACTGCGAGACAACCCTCCACATTGCAGCCTTAGTTGGACAAGTAAAGATTGTGGAGGAGTTGGTCCATATGCACTACAAGAAATTGCACTTTTGGCGATTAAATTTTTAGTCGCCAAAAGTCATATTTTTGGTCGCCAAAAGGTTTTCCCGACTAAATAGTTTGGTCACCAACTTGGTCGCGGAAAGACGGTTGGCGAAGGTATTGGCGACTAAAAAAATTTTAGTCGACGAAAGTCCTAAATTGGCGACTAAACAAGTAGTCACCAAAAGTAAAAGGTATTGGCGACAAAACAAAAACTTTAGTCGCTGAAAGGCTAAATTGGCGACTAATTTTTTAATCGCCAAAAGCTTACAATTAAATTTAATATCACATTTTCAGCTACTAAAATTTTTGTCACCAAAACTTAATTTTTTTTTTTGGCTACTAAATTATTAGTCACCCAAAGTCTTTTTTTTAAATGGCTACTAAATATTTAGTCGCCAAAAGGTTTGTTTCCATTTAATTCTTTTTTTAGCTACTATCTATTTAGTCACTAAAAATATTTAACTTCATTTTTGGCTACTAATTGTTTAGTAGCCAAAAATATCATTTTATATTTTTTTATTTTAATTAATTTACCCACAACCTGTATGTATCCCACGCAACCTGTAACAAGTATACAAACAAAACAATACATACATATTATCACCTATTCCACAACACGTATTTCACTTGTAACCATCCAAAAAAGAGAATAACTTTTAATGTCAAATTTTATACAAACCAAGTATATTCCAACTAAAAATAATAAATTCATACAGAATAAAAAGTAGTACAAAAACCATGTCCTCCGTAGAGAAAAAAGGAATATCTACAATTCCACGCCAAAAATATCTGTAAAAAAAAAAATAATTAATCATTAGTATTGACTAAATAGCATTGGCATATTTGAAATTATAAAAGAAAATTATATAATGCAAAATCGTTACATTACCCTTATGGGTCTTCACTAGCAAATAGCACCCAAAAGATAGAGATGTCAAAACCCCATTGTACATGTCTACCTGTGAGTTCCTTCTTAACCTCTTCAGCCTTAGGCTCTTAAAAAAAATTCACAAAATAGTGAGATTCACATAAAATTACAGTTTTCACCCACTTTATAATATGGCATTCACTAAAATAATATCCCAAAACTTAATACCCACTTTCAAGTGAAAGTGACTAACTGAAATAAGAACTTGGTCTTCTACAGCTCAAATGAACCTATAGTTATGATTTTCCTCAAATGTTCCGCACTAAGAATGAACAAATTTAAGCTAAGGAATATGCATGACATTTTTCTTCAGAATATATGTACACACATAAAAAATGGAGAGCATTTGTGTGCCTAAAAACAAGTAAACCTCAGCTTTTGCTAGTCTCTATGCAGCCAACACATATCCAAACTATGTTATCAAGTTTAATTTAGGGAGATCAAAAAAAAAAAAGGGTATGCACTAGGGAACAATTTCAGCTGCAATGCCTAATCTTAATTCTTGTGTGCCAAAATCCTTCTCACTATTGCAGAGCTCAAGCTGAAAGGCATAGAAAACCAATAGAAGGATGACCACTATGACCATTTTGGTTTAAGATGGTGAATAAATCATCTAAGTGGCCCAGTCATGTTTTGCACGATGGGCACCGGGCACCCAAGTTGAGTATCAAGCACTATGGGTTACGTTGGAATGGCCAGCAGTTGTAGGCATAGGAACTTCACCAGTTTCACGGATTAAGCAGTGCTCATGTCTAGTTTGTCTAGGACGGAAGACAATAGGTGTAATATCGAAGTGGTTTGTATGATATTAGTCCAATTGATGAGCTATAAATTAGTTTGCTATTAGATAACACAACACATTATCAGGTAATATATCCAAGAGAGAAGAACATATCAAATAGAACATAATCAGAATTAAGAATACCTAGTGAAATTCAACAACAGCAACAACAGTATGACTGATGAGTTTTGTTAGTAGTATCTTTGAGATGTTTGTATCTGGTCTTGCACTAAGGGCACAGTTGGGAGCCTTCTCTTCTCTTATACTCATAACACGGGCGACACACTGGAAAACCACATTCATTACAAGCCACAAACAAGTCTCCGTCCACCGTCAGCCCAATTCCATCGCCGCATATCTCACAGAATTTACCTGTCAAATCCTTCAAAGGCTTGTGCTGGTATTTGCACCAATATCACCAAAAACCAAATATGTTAGTCATCTTCACAATTCAATAATTATCTATCCATGTCATGTACGTTTTGTTAATGTCTGTTATGTACCTCTTCATGGCCATGGATGACAAACAGCTCGTTGCGGTTGTGTGACTGACCTGCTGTCCAGGAGTCAGGACAACGTAAGGATCACTTGACAAGACTATAACATAACTACTCATATTGGTCTTTGATACCAATGGCATGATCCAAATGCATACCAGATTGATATGAATATGACATGAATAACAAAACAACAAAAAACTAAAAAGAATATTATGAAAATGAGTGATAGTCTGCATATTATAACATAACTATTCATATTGGTCTTTCCTTACCCTGCATTATACATGAGAAGAAAATGAGTGATACCTTTAGAGCTTTCTTCACATTACCCTCCATTGTCCCATAGGGCTTTCTTTGTGGAATCCTTAGCAAGTATGAGATGTCCTCCAGAGAATCCTAAAAGAAGAAGTAAGATAGTCTGCATATTATTACTATCCAAATAGAGGAATTGTAGAACTAAAGAGTTTCAATGATAAGGACCTATATAGCTTTCATATTTGTGTTTACAGGGATAGCCTTTCTCAAAGCTAGTTCCCCTGTTCTACGAACTTTTGTGTCTAGTGAATAAAGTACTGCTTCAGCGGGAGAAATAGACCAAGAATTCCAAGAAGCTAAAGGTAATGGAGATGCAATTTGAATAAAAACAAGGCAACATAATATTTCATTCAATTTTTTGGTCCAACATGAGAGAGAGAGAGACAGAGATTACTATCAGTTTTTTATTCAGAACCTGTTAAAATCACTAAATTAATTCTTAGGAATAAATCAAAGGGAGAGAATAAGATTGTCAGAACATTACTACTAAGAATAAAATGGTTAAAGTAGAGCTTAGATGTGGAGACAAGCAATGCACAGCAGCCCCCGAAAACAAATGGGAAACTATCAGTCAAATGGTGAATGAGGAAAGTTACTTCAATTCAGTGAAAACTTGTTAAAAATTTCAGCTCACACCACCAATCACAAAGTGTGAGCCTCGTAATTTATCAGCGTGGAAGACAATTAAAAAATGTGATACATTTTGAGTTCTTTACCATTTTGCCAAGGGTTGTGAATTACAATCTGAAATGGTTCAAATATCCTATTCATTAACATAACATTATGTAATCTATAGGCAGTAAGAGCCCTCCTATTTGAATTATGACAAGATATATACAAATATGGGGGATCACAAACAACACTATGCATAACAACTTTCACATACACTACACAATTTCAAATTATCCCCAAATCAGGTGCAATAAAAATTATTAATTCTTCAAAAAAAAATCACCAATTCAAGTAAAACAATGAATATGAGCATAATAGAACTAACCATTGAAGGGTTTTTGACGAGAATGCGGCCAAGTGTGGGGTGAATTGGAGTTACTGTGTGTTCTCTGCGAGTTCCCTTGGATCGAATTGAGGGAAGAAGGGTTGAGAAAAAAGGTTGAATTGGAGTAAGGGAGACATTTATGGAAACCCTAGTGTGAGGGATGATGGTGGAGGAGAGAGAGAACGACATGGGCGATGGTTGGTAGTTGTAGAGATTTTTGGCGCGCCTCATCCAAATCCTATCTATCTATTATGTCTCTGCAATATGTGAGGGAGGAGCCGCCGATCGAGCTTACGTGGGTGATGGATTGATTTCAGGCGACGATGACCAACAAGGAGGTGAATCGATGCTCTGGTTGCCGGAAAACGCGATGAGGAGTGGTGGTGAGAGATGAAGCAGCGGAAAGGGAGAGGGAAAAGGAGAAGGAGAAGGAGAGGGAGAGGGAGAGGGACGCTGAAGACAGAGAGAGAGGCGCTGCAATGAGAGAGAGATGAGAGAGGATGAGAGAGAAGAGTGAGAGCGTGATATATTCATATAGATGGTTATTGGCAACTAAACTTTTTTAGTCGCTGAAAGTATTTAATAAATCCCTCCAAAAAATTTGAAATGTCTCCCTTCAAAAAATTTTAATTCTTTGGCGACTAAAATTTTTTTTGTTGCTGAAAATGAACTTTTGGCGACTAAAATTTTGGTCGCCAAAGGTAAAAAATATTTTTTTTATTTTTCATTCGGTGACTAAATGGTTTTAGTAGCTAAAAGTCAATATACGACGACTAAAATTATTTTTTGTTGCTGAAAATAAACTTAAGGTAAAAAATAATTTTTTTATTTTCTATTCAGCGACTAAATAGTTTTAGTAGCCAAAAGTCAATATACGGCGACCAAAATTATTTTTTTTTGTCGCCAATTCTGGCTTTTTTAGCGACTAATTTTTTTTTGTCGCCAATAACCAATATACCCCGACTAAAAAAAATTAGTAGCTAAATATTTTACTTTTGGCATCTAAAAAAAATTTTGGTCGCCAATTCTATAACTTTTGGCGACTAAATTTTTTTTAGCCGCCAATTTTGGTCGCCGAAAGTGAATTTTGTTGTAGTGATGACAAGTGTAGAAGATTTGACAATTAAAAATGATTACGGTGAAACAGCTCTTTCTCTTGTTGCTGGAGGTGGAATCACAAGGGTTGCTAAGCCTTTGGTGAGAAAGAATCATGCCTTGCTAGGGATTAAAATATTTATGGTGTCATCCCTGTTGTTGTGGCTGCTCAATTCGGCCCTACAAATATGGTACATTTTCTTTACAATATGACTCAAGAGGAAGACCTAGATCCTAAAACAAGCAACCAAGGTGCTAAGCTTCGTATTACTTGTATCATTGCCCAAATATGGTAATAAAATTTAAATTTTCATTAATATTTAGCAAAAAATTAACTAGCAAGTAGTTTTACTGATTCCCTTGAATGTATGTGTCAGCAATACCATAGATATTGCTTTGTATACATTACTACAGTTTCCAGAATTGGCTATTGCCATATTGAAGGAACATCCTAGTGGAACACTAAATACATTGGCTACTAGAAACTCAACATTCCCTAGTGGAACTCAGTTGGTGTGTTGGAAAAAATGGATGCACTCATGTGGGTACTTTTATTCACTCAACTAAACTTTTATTCTTGGTCTACTGGTTTACAGCTTTCATCTAAACCCCTTATACTGGGGAAGACAACCCAAACTTTGAATTTAATTCAGATAAAATGGAGGAAATAACAAGCTTCATTTTGAATGGTTATATGGTAGTGAATAGTATTTATCCCATCAGAACAAAAATGATTTCAAACAATTTTAGGAGTTCAAATTATAGACCTGAAATCATTAGTTTTTATTATTTTGAATTCCCCTCTCCCTTTGATTATGAATATATTTGAAAGCAAAACTGACAAAGTCCCTTGTTGAAAGGCATGCTGGTACATTCATCTCTTGTCTTCAACATTCGCAGAGACATCGAAGCATAACCTAGAATACGTACTTACCATGAAAATATCATTAGATTAGGTATATTCAGAATGTTACAAGGATCGTACTTTTTGAAAATGTGATTATTTTTTTAAGAACACAAGATTCTAATGGTTGTACACTTGCATCACTCAGTCATTTGTATGGACTATGATGGGATCTCCTAAAACTCCAAGGTATATGAAGAGTACATTCACTTCAATCCTCTTTTAAATTTTTTTATGTAGGTCTTTAACTTTGTTTTGATTGCAGTCCCCTACATCAAGCATGTGTATGTTATAAAATTAAAACATGCTCAAGTCCTTGAGTTGTTGGACTGCATTTCCCAACATATATCAGCTTTGAATCATTCACAAATAAAGGATATAGAATTATTTCAAGCAATATTCAATGCTATTAAGCATGGGAATGTTGAGTTTGTCAAAGAGATCCTCACAGCGTATCCTGATATCGTATGGATTGTTGATAAGGACATGCACAACATATTTTTATATGCAGTTCTGCGACGACAAGAAAAGATTTTCAACCTTTTACATAAAATGGAGCCAAAAAAAACACTATAGCAACTAACTTGGACAAAGATAGAAACACCATCTTACATCAAGCGTCAATGCTATCACCTTCTCATCTTGATGGCATTTCTGGTGCAGCTTTGCAGATGCAAAGAGAGTTACAATGGTTTGAGATGACCCACACACATTTTCCACATCTTCTAATCCTTTTTTTTTTTTTTCTTTGGGTCTTGCAAACAAGTGTCCCTACAGCACAAGAAAAAGACCAAAAAAATTAAAAAAAACACGAGACACTTTGCACTGAATTCAATGCACCTTTTATTTTTATTTTTGTTTAAATGAATACACTTTTTTTAACATTTTCACCTATTTTCAAGGCACTATTGACCTCAATCCCAATATTAAACAATGCCCCAAGGGCATTCTATAGCATTTGCCTTTTTCTGTTCGGTTAAGTGTTAGTTATGCCATCAAAATTGCAGGAAGTAGAGAAAGTTGTTCAACCATTGTATGGAGAAATACAAAATGATTATGGTAAGACAGCTCGCCCTTTGTTTACTTCAAAGCACAAGAAACTGAGAAAAGAATGGGAGAAATGGATGAAGGAAACATCAACATCATGCACTGTTGTGGCTACTCTTATCACTACTGCTATGTTCACAGCAATCTTCACCGTGCTAGGAGGTTATAAGCACAAGAAACTGAGAAAAGAATGGGAGAAATGGATGAAGGAAACATCAACATCATGCACTGTTGTGGCTACTCTTATCGCTACTGCTATGTTCACAGCAATCTTCACCGTGCTAGGAGGTTATAATGGAACAACGAGGAATCCCGTGTATTTGCATCGACATTCATTCATGGTTTTCACAGTAGCAGATGCTTTGTCCATGTTCATTTCTTGTAGCCCAGTACAGTTGTTCCTAGGAATCCTTAAATTGCGCTACGCTGACAGTGAATTCCTTGTGTCCTTGCCAAGGAAACTGATAATGGCTATCGCTTCCCTTTTCTTCTCTATAGTGACCATGAAGCTAACCTTTGGCACTACCATATTTATCTCCCTTCATCACCGATAATCATGGATTTCCATTCTTGTCATTTTGTTATCTAGCATTCCAGTTATGGTTTTTGTGTTTCCTCAAGTTCCACTCCTTTATGAGATTTTTGTTTCGTCATATGGACCTGGCATCTTTAAAAAACCAAAAAAGGCTTAGTTTTGAAGTGTTTCCCTTTATGAATATTCCTAATAATTGGCTATGAGTGTATTAGATTGAGAGTATGAACCCAGGCATTTATTTAAAGAAACTTGTAGGCGTGTAATGTCATTTTTATTATATTTTTACTTTTGTCTTGTATTTTACGTATTTATTTAGTTTGTTCTTGAGTTGTTTGTATTATCACACATGCCTTTTACTTCCCAAGTAAAATCAGATGTGTGTTAGTGATGCCAATTTGTGGACAAAAGCACTTGAATTTAATCTCTATTCCTAGGACTTTAAAGTTAGTTTGGAAGTTTTTTTTAATTGAGCCAACAACAAAATTGAGGTACAAGCAGTCAAAGCAATGCCTGATGTACAAGTGGCTCAAGCAGAATTTGGGAAATTACACGGGCCCATTAAGCAGAATCATGGGTCGCTTAAGCAGGTTGTGCAGGCACTTATATATGCTTTCATCAGTTCTATCCAAAAAGCTGATCTTCGTCAGCTTGATGGCCACTTGGACTAAAAGCAATGATTTCTTATGTATTTTTGTTCATTCATGCTTCGAATACTCTGTCGAATTGGGTTTCGACATCCTAGGTATAAACACAAATATATCTATCATCTGCATTAGTTTTGATCACTTTAACCTTACTAAAAGGAGGTCAATGTAATTATGTCAAACTTATGGAACTAATTGTATTTTTCTCAAACCTCAGGGGAGGTTAGTGTAATTTACCCTAAACTTTACAAGCTTAATTGACAGATGTGGCATGCAATAATAAAATTTTAATTTTCAAAATGGGACTCACTAAATAATATGATAGAAACAACTTATGTACGTAAGAAAAATTTGCAAAATTTATTGGTTTGTATAGCGTTACTCGTGTGAGAAATACTAGGAGCAGAGTAAGAATATTGATAGTTGTGCGGGGGTGATTTCCGCACTATGAAGAAGGGTTGAACTTCGTGGATGAACACCGTGCTCCGGGAATTGAAGATCTGCACAGAGTAACAAACGGTGAGGCTGCCCGACCGGGGTTTGGTCGGAAACCCCTCCGATGGTAAAGTCAGGGACTCAGGGAGAGGAAAAAGAGAGAATACAAAGAGTATATGTGTTGAGTGTGTCCATTTTCGGATATTGAACAAGGTATCTAACTGCTTTGGGACTCTGCTGTTGGAGACGAATCGGGCTAAGAACGCCTCTGAGAGCTGCGTCCAGTCATAAATCGAGCCATTGGGGAGTTTGTCAAACCAGCGGAGGCCAAGTTCTCCAAGGCTAGAGGGGAAGACTTTGCACATGAGTGCGTCGTTACGGTTCCAGAGGGACATCATCTGGCGGTAATGGCTGATGTGGGTCAGAGGGTCCGTCTTCCCATCATAGAGAATGAATTTTGGCAGGCTATACTTCCATAGAGGTTCTACAGCTTCTACCTCTGGGGAGAAGGGGGTGGACACCAACCGGTCTAGAGCACGATGCTCTTGTTGGTGTATGGACCAGTCTAACTGGTCCCTTTCCCTGCTGAGCCGGCGGTCCTCCTCCCTATCTCCTCGACGTTCTCCTTCCCTGCATAGCCGTCGTGCCTCTCCTCTGTTATCGTTCAGCCAACTTCTCAAATCTTGCGGCCGCTCGTCGTGGTTCTGTCCATCCAGAAGGTCCAATATGTTGCTCAACCCATTTCGGAGTGGTTCTGTCCATCCAGAAGGTCCAATATGTTGCTCAACCCATTTCGGAGTGGTTCTGTCCATCCAGAAGGTCCAATATGTTGCTCAACCCATTTCGGAGTGGTTCTGTCCATCCAGAAGGTCCAATATGTTGCTCAACCCATTTCGGAGTGGTTCTGTCCATCCAGAAGGTCCAATATGTTGCTCAACCCATTTCGGAGTGGTTCTGTCCATCCAGAAGGTCCAATATGTTGCTCAACCCATTTCGGAGTGGTTCTGTCCATCCAGAAGGTCCAATATGTTGCTCAACCCATTTCGGAGTGGTTCTGTCCATCCAGAAGGTCCAATATGTTGCTCAACCCATTTCGGAGTGGTTCTGTCCATCCAGAAGGTCCAATATGTTGCTCAACCCATTTCGGAGTGGTTCTGTCCATCCAGAAGGTCCAATATGTTGCTCAACCCATTTCGGAGTGGTTCTGTCCATCCAGAAGGTCCAATATGTTGCTCAACCCATTTCGGAGTGGTTCTGTCCATCCAGAAGGTCCAATATGTTGCTCAACCCATTTCGGAGTGGTTCTGTCCATCCAGAAGGTCCAATATGTTGCTCAACCCATTTCGGAGTGGTTCTGTCCATCCAGAAGGTCCAATATGTTGCTCAACCCACTTCGGAGTGGTTCTGTCCATCCAGAAGGTCCAATATGTTGCTCAACCCACTTCGGAGTGGTTCTGTCCATCCAGAAGGTCCAATATGTTGCTCAACCCACTTCGGAGTGGTTCTGTCCATCCAGAAGGTCCAATATGTTGCTCAACCCACTTCGGAGTGGTTCTGTCCATCCAGAAGGTCCAATATGTTGCTCAACCCACTTCGGAGTGGTTCTGTCCATCCATGTTGCTCGGCCCACTTTGGAGTGACGCTCGTACATTGGGCCAAACTCCTATGATTGTCTTGCTTCGGAGCAAGTGTTGGCCATAGGGCTGAGGTCCGACCTAGCTCCACTTGGAGTGAGCATCGCAATGGACCTAGCACCAAGACTTGATTAATTTTTACCCACTTCATTTGCCCCCTGGCTTGCATTCAAATTTATTGTGTGGAAGCCATTGTTGTTCATCGGCCTGATTTGTTCAAAATGTACTACCTTTGTGTTTATAGACGGATCTCGTCCCTCTAATTTACAAGAAAACTAGATTTATATATTTATATAAGAATAAGTAAGAGCATCTCGGCCCACCCAAAACTTTTTTAGTAGGCCAAGTTTGTATTTGCTTTGCTGCCATGCTTTGTAATTGTTAAATTAAGGGGAAGTTTGGGATCTTTCAAAAAAGATAAAAAGATAAAAAGTTACTTAAAAAGTTAAAAAGTTAGTACTATTCACCAAAAGTCAATAATTACGGCAACAATTACGGCTGCACAACTCCCAATTCAAATTTTTCCCTACAAATCAATTTTTACAATTTTTTATTACATATTTTTTCATAAAAAGTCAAAAAGTTAACCCAAACATCTATATTTTCAACCTCGATTTTTTAGTCCAAAAAGACAAAAAGTGCACTTATTTAGGACATCCCAAACAATCCTTAAATACTTGTCAAATTGGTGGGCCCCAATACCCACTAAGCAACTCATGCATTCTTTTACTCAGCACACTTCACATAATGTCCAACTTGTGTAAACAATTAGCTTAATTGTTTGGTGGGCCCGTTTGCTTGACTTCTTGTTCATATTCATGCCTTATAAAAATTGGTTTGTAATCTAATAATGGACTTCAGATAGCATACTGGACGTTCTGAGATTGGTTATAGCTCGGCCTCGTGTATGCTTGGTCCCGCCTGAGCTGTTTCTTGCATATATAGTGTGTATATCGGTCATCTGTGAAGCTCTTTACTGTCAAGAAATGAAAATAAAAATAAAAATGGGCTTGGCCCATTTTGTTGTTGCCTGTAGCTCTGCCTTTGTTGGTCGGTCATGGATGTGTTTTTGCATTGTTCGGTCCTCTGTCATGTTTGTTATTGCTTAGTTGATCGGCCAAGCCTTCACCTCGTCCGAAGAAATATTTCCAGTGCTTGTTTGGGCCCATCACCCAGAAGTTAAGCTGCTTATTTTGCTCGGTTTTGATAGAGTTTAGGAAGGTTGTCTATTGCCCAATCGGTGGAGCTCTTTGACTTATTTCAAAATATCTCAATCATGCCCCACTTTGTTCAGCCCATACTTCATCTCTTCTGCTCGGTTTGTTGGTGCGTGTCTGGTCCATTGTAGGCCATTTCATACTCAGGAATTAAATATCATTGTTGAGCATGGAGATCGGTAGTTTTCAATTTGAATGGGCCCTCGGCCCTTTGCACATCGCAGCTCTTCACGATCCCGTGCGTCCCTTCAGAGCTTGGTTGGCCATGTCTTTGATTGCTGCTCGGTCGAAAATACTTTGGCTGGTTTGCTCGTGTTGTAGCTCGGTCGGATTTGCGTCTTGTTCGGCCCGACGCAGCTTCTTCGATTCATTTCAGTCCATAGATTCTACGCACACCCATCTTGGCCTACCTCATGCATGTTGCAATTCGGTCAGTCATCGTTGCTACCTGGTTGACCCTTTTTCGACGCTTGATGGGCCGAGCAACTCCACTTAATTTTCACACGACGTCTACTCAGCTCAGTCATTATTTTGGTCTTCAAATTTGTGTGTAGCGTTGCACGGTTGTCTTCAATTTTGCTCGATTCATTCTTGTTCGGTCGTCATCTTTTTTCATATCCAGCAGCATATTTCTTCCGTGGTCTTTGTTGTTCGGTTGGACCGTTGCTCGGCCATGGGTTTGCCACCGCTCGGCCTTAGAGGAGCATGCCATCAAATTCATAGCTCGGTCGCTAGCTCGGCTCGTCGCCGTCAACGAATGAGTTCAGTCGGTTGCCGTTATTCCGTAGCTTGGTTCGCACCAGCTTTCATGCTGCTCGGTGGCCTCCAATTTGTGCTCAGTTACATCTTTTCAGTGTCCTGCTCGGCTGGCCACCATCTTCGTCTTGCCATTGGATTTCCCAGCCGATTGTCGCTGAATGTTTTCTGGCACTCGCCATCAAATTCGTAGCTCGGTCGCTAGCTCGGCTCGTCGCCGTCAACGAATGAGTTCAGTCGGTTGCCGTTATTCCGTAGCTTGGTTCGCACCAGCTTTCATGCTGCTCGGTGGCCTCCAGTTTGTGCTCAGTTACATCTTTTCAGTGTCGTGCT